GAGTTATTATATTCAGAATTACTTAATAACGATGACAGATTGTAACAAAGCACCAAGAAAGGAAACAGAGCTTTATCGCCAACAAAGGAAAGCATCGAGTCAGAGAAATAGACAAGAAAATAAACTAAACATGGATCCCGCATTTGCTGCCTGCGTACCTTACTTTCCGGATGTGACAGAACCTATCAAGCGAATTATGAAGTTAAGAAACATTGGATCTGCCTTCAAACACACGGAAACTCAGATCACTGTTGACGAAGGTAAAAAACCGGATTCTCACTGCAAACATAATGGATGCTGTGTAACGGATTAGCTGCCTGCCTTGCAACTTACGACACAGTGAATAAATATCACGGCTATTACTAGTCAGAGTTGCTGTGTACAAACGAATCAATAGACGAAGGAGCGGTCAGAGGCCAAGAAGCGTTGCAAAAGTTTAAAATAACTTCTGCACCGGTCCAGCGTCATGTTGCGATTGGGCACCATATCGATTTCGCGGAAACAAAACCCGCTGACATGGCATCAGACATCTTCGAAAAGGTCTTGTTACAAGGCCTCTTCATTTAGACTATGGAAATTTTCATGAATCAGGACTGATAGCTAGAAATGTCAAAACAGGGAACAGCCTATAGAAAAGACCTGCAAGGTCTGAGCCGTTGCGATCTGTTGTAGAGGAACAAAAGACCATTTCGCTAGTATCTGTCGAAGATGACTAGTGACAGAGGAAATATGGTCAAGACCATATTTTTGATCAGAACAAATAATAAGATACTATCAGACTACTGACCTTTACAAAAAAGTAAAGAAGGTGGTGAGCTTGACTATATGGCTGATGAAGGCCGGAAAATAGAACCAAAACTTGGTCCTATCAAAACCAAAATTTGTCGCGGGTAAATATTTAAAGTAAACTTTTTTGCATTGTTGTCAGATCAAACTAAAACCAACCCCGCAATCAAGTCACTAGATTAAGTGATCTTCAGATTGTACTAACGAGCCAATAATCCTAAACGTTACGAGAGGAAGAGTCCACTTACCTTCTTTAAAACCACGTCGACATTCATGTGCATCGACAATGAGCTGAAGTAGAGAAGTATTTCATCGTGGGTCATTCTCTGCCTTAGCGGCTCTTTTCCATAAACGGTGATGATGGCGAGGGCGACAAAAATGTGAAAATAAAGCGTGCCGTAGTTCGTCCAACACGTCTCCCAGATACGCAGCACATCTTCTTCGGGAAATTCACGCTTGAAGCATAACAGTATCCACCGATGGACGAACAACAGCTGTAGGCTGTCACCTCCGAACGCCTCCAGATATTCGTAAAATTCACCGTACGTAACTCGAAGTAGGCCTCGAAGGTATTCCTGCAAAAGATTCGAAATGGTTTATGTCAAATAGAAAATCTACACGTTAACGTGACAAGCTGTTATGGAATATTAACAAAACAGCTCTAACAGTACAAAAGCACTAAATAAAAAAACCAAAAAACAAAACAATGTGGCGTCGTGCGGGAACTATCCCGGATCGCTGTGACCAAGGCAAAGCTAAGTCTGAAGACGAAGCAACCTATCTTCAAATCCATTTCTATGCTCAGCTAATAATTATGAGCCATGGGCGATAATTGAAAAACTTCCATCCCGGGTGCAAGTGGCTGAAATGGGCTTTCTGAGATGAATCGCCGGTTCGACGCGTCCTGACGTGGTTCGAAGCTGGCCTTGATGTACAGATGCTGCTTCTTCAGGCTGAGAAGCTAAACTGCGATGGTTTG